TTAAGGACACAGAGATGGAGGGAGTGGCTCCCAGAGCACAGTCAGGTGACAAATTGCTTTTCAGTGAATTCGTGTTTTGCAAATAGATTTGAGGGAAACTGGTGTCCTTCTGCCCAAATGCTCTTCCCCCTCCCCCAGTTTCCTGTCCTAACAGACTGCTGTCTTGCCTTCAATCACTTTCTCCCTTTCTGTTATCAAAACTGGCTCTGACCTAGACTTTATCTGATAAGCTCATTCACAGTGGGGTGTGAATAATTTACACCACTTTATACCCTACACTTAATGGTGTTCAAAATCTGCAAGAGGAGGAAACCCAATGGAGATTTATAGACATTTGCATGGGGAACTATTGGGTGAAGGGGTCCTCTCATCACCCACCACCCACCCCTTGCCCCTCACCCACCTTGGAGAGGCTATACTGATGTGCAAAGATTTGGCCAGTTACACTCTGCCTATTTGGGGGTGTGGGTTGGGGGTGGGGTCTGATCTAAATAAGAAGTAGATAAAGTTCCCTTTGGAGCCCACTCTTTTCTTTGCATCCAGGGCACCTGCTATATTTACCCTGTCTGAGGACCCTAGGTAGAGAATTGCATGCATCTTCCATTCCCCATCATGGGGTACCTGCCCTGCGTCTCTACTTCAGTAATTACTCACTACTTTCCTCTGCTGGCTTTAGCAAAGCAATGAGACTAATCTGTTAAGGGACAGTGCACTGTCATTCCCAGGTAGAATATTTGGTTTTAGCAGGAATCTCCTGGAAATGATGCCCTGACACAAAGGGGGAGTAGGAATTTCAGGAACCCATCATGAGACTGTGGAGATATTTGAAGTTAGGTGAGTCAGGGACCCCTCAAGTAACACCATCAGGAGCCAAGCCCATCCATCTTGGTGGCCAGGGTCTTTCTTATTAGCCAGAGCCTATGGTGGCTCTGGGGCATCCCCTCAAAAGGAACATGCTAGAACACAGCCGACCAAAACAGGAGACAGGAAGGGGCAGGAAAAGAGGTAAGAACTGCTGATGGGGAGGGAACAAGAGATGAACAAGACACAGATGTCAGGGGTGGAGATTGCTTAGGGACCAAAATCACTTTCTGTGTGGAGCCAAGATCTACTCATCCGTTGGAAATGAAATTTAGCTCCTTGAAATTAGTTCCATCATGTTGTCAGAATAATTTGTCGCTCTAAGTGGCACTCTTTGAAGTCAGCTTTTGCCAGGAAGTTTGAAAGCATTTAAGTGCATGGCTCAGAAGACCAGGACGCAGGGAAGAGGTAAGGAAGACCTGAGCCAGGCTGCTTTCTCTAGGGCGCAGCAGTAGCTTCGCCAGAGAGAGTTGAAGCTTTAGTTGGTTAATGAGAGCTCTGCTTTTGTGGACTGGTGATCGGAATGGAAAATGTTTGCTGTATTTTTTTTTTCTTTTCCCTAAAATGTAACTGTCAGCTTTGGTCACATATGAAGTGACAAGGTGGCAAAGAAGCTGTTTTCACACTAATTCTTCTGTTGAGGAAATCTTATAGCTGGGTGATTGGTGGTATTTTGCTTTCATATGACCTTCTTTCAAAATGTATTATTTTATTAAATATACATCTAGCTCTACAAATGTTTAGGATGCACTGGTATTGCCTCTTTGCTTTGTCTGGTTGCTGCTGTGAAAATGAATGAACCAGGGGGTCGAGGCTATACTGTTTCAATTAAAGCCTGGGCGAGACCTAAAACCTGGGTGAGACCTGAATTTCAAGGTCATCCATTGGCTTTGTGAGACTTTTCCACACTCAATTCATATCCAAGGAGTGATGGTCTTAATTATCACCCCCTCTTTCCCTGCTCTCCTGTCATCTGACGCTCCTACAGAAGAGCTGCTCGGAGGGCTGGGCTGGCTCTGCTCTGTGCCTGAGCTGACACCATTCAGGGCCCCTCCAGCTCTCCCCTTCCGGCCCTTTGCAAGGAAGGGGCCCTGTTCCAACCAGTTGGATCTGCAGGATGCGCAGTCCCACTAACTACACCCTTCCTGTCTGTCCTCTTTACAGAATGGGCTGAATGGCTTGCACCTGGCCTCCAAGGAAGGCCACGTGAAGATGGTGGTTGAACTTCTGCACAAAGAGATCATTCTAGAAACAACAACCAAGGTACGTCTCCTAGGGAGTGGGGAAGCTTTATATTGACAATTCAAGCATGGGGGTCCTTCATGTGTTGTCCCAAACCCTGGCATGGAAAACAGCCCTTCATGAGCTCATGTTCGCATGCTTCTGAATGTCTCTTGTCTCTCTAGTCATTTCCTAGTTCTGTGAGTCCCCAAAGTCACTTGCAAACACACGACCCTGTTTCTACAAAGATTCAATAGGTCTTTACTTTATCTTTATCACTAGACTGTAGATATGAAAATAAACCCCCTTTTCCAGTGGCTTCATGCTTCCTCAGGGTCTGTGACACGAATCCAGGGACTAAGAGCACCATGAGCTTCACAGTCAGGTGTCTCGGGTCCAAATCCTGAGACACTTTGTACTCTGTGACCTTGAGCAACCTAGTCCATGAAAAGCCTCCGTTTCCTCATCTGTAAAATGCTTAGTTGTGGGATTGGTGTGAAAATGTAATGAGATGAGGTAGTATAGAAGATGCCTGGCACCTAGGAAGGACTCAGTAGATATCGTGACTCTGTTATTGAGGGCTGTAGAAGAGTCCAGATCCTTCTCCAGCAAGTCTTCCTCATTCAGCCCCAGACCTTCCTCCTCTCCTGACTGATTACCTTGAACAGCCCTCTCTTTTACCAGGAGGCATCAGGCAGGAGCTGAGTCACACCTCACACAGCAGTCTGTTTCTCCCCATAGCCTTAGATTGCAAACAGCAGTGGCTTAAGTCCAGAAACCAAAGTCATGAAACTAATGCATCTACAGGTTGCAAAATCAGTTTTATTTCTTACATACATGCATCATATTTGTTCATTAAGCAGGATGCAGCCATCACTGAAACACAAAACTAAGAAAAAAAAAAAAAAATCACCTCTAATTTACTAACTCAAGTCCTGTTCCCTCTTCCCTTCCTTCCACTGTCACTTCCCGCGGTTTTCCTCTTGGCCTTGTCCCACTAGCATCTTATTTTCCATCTGCTATTTATTAAACATGGTCTCACATCAGCCTCAATTTCAGTTCCATGCAGCAAACATTTTGCCGCCTCTCAAGCAGAGAACGAGAAGAACACTGTGCAGAGAACAGATATAATTTATGGTTATGAAGTGAACTACCAAAATATTATGAAGGTAGAATCATCTTGAGATAAAATTCTGTAATTTTCATGTCATTTTCCGAAGGTGAAAAGAGCTCATGGGTAAAATAGACTGAGCTGCTCTTTCTGAATGTATGTGGGCATTTTTCTCTAATGCCAGGACAAACACTGACTGCACCCTGCCCCTCCTGTGGGCGGAGGGATGCAATTACGCTCTCTCCTGCTGCTCTCGCATACCTGGCTGCAAGCGGCGTGCCATCTGACGGGCTCTCTGCGGGCCAGAGCAGCTTGTCTTCCCCTGGCCTTCCCCCAAGAGCTGTGAAAACATTATGCTTCAGCACTTTTAGTTTTTCCGAATTTCCCCCTTTGATTGTTATTTTGCAAGCGAACCCTTGGCATGTCTTTGTTATTTATAGAAATTTATAAATCAGCGTGGTTTCTGAATGCTGAAAGGGGGGAAAGGTGAAACTGAAACTGTGGGCTAAGAAAGAGTCATCCAGATTGGGGCATTGTAGTGGGTCTCAAACGCCTGAGAAAGATTAAAAAATGAATAAAAAGCCAAAACCGATAAGGTTTTCTAAACTGTGCTTAGAAATTTTAAAAGCACAAAACAAATGCATTCTCTCCCCATCCTGCCACCTCCACGGCTTAGAGGCGGGAGCTCAGCCTATACCGGAGCTCAGCCTCCAAGGTGGTGGTGAAGGCTGGGGGTGGGGGGAGCTTTAATCCACTCAGCACCTCCTGCGGCCATCCACCCTTTCACCCGCTCCAGGACCCCCTGGAAATGGAAACATTGGGTCTGGGCCCATCAGATACAGCTAAGACTTTTTTCTGCTTCTTCAAGGGTGTGTTCCTTCATGCGAGGGAGGGGCAGAGAAGACAAGGACCCCTCTCCCTGTGACTCCTGACCCAGGGCGGGGGTGGGGGCACCTTGAGCCTTACCATGTGTGTATAGATGGGGGGAGGGATCTGCTTCCCAGGGTCTTCCCTTGGCTTTTGTTCATCACCAGTGCTGCCCTCAGCCCAGATCCCGAAGACGGCATGGGCCAAGGTCCACAGGCTGGGTTCCACATCTAACCAGGTTCCCCTCGCAGGGTTTAGACAGGGAGATCTCCGGTGGAGAGTGATCTCCGGCAGGAAGGGGCAGGTGAAAGAAACAGCATAGCTTCTTGAGGGCAAGGAGCCTGAGTCTCAACATCTCAGTACCTCCATGCCTGACAGCGTGTGACAGACGAGTGAATGGACGCGGCGCGCCTCCTTCTTGTAAATGGAGAGACGTGGAGTTCTGAGTCCCGATTTCTAGAGGAGGTTCTGGCGCCAACAGCCCTGTTCCATTTTGTACAGTGAGCTAGTTGGACCCAAGTGCCAAGGCCTCTAAATGTAGGCTCTTTGGACTTCTATGAAAAGTGATTAATTAGCATCTATACATTCATTTCTGGCACTTCTTCTCTGATGGGTATTTGAGGAAGAACCCGCTTGTTTATCAAACAAGACTTACTGAGACATCAAAAAGACAAGTTCAGGAGGCAACATGCAGAACCCGCCTGCCTGGTACAGGCCACGTTTTAGAGGCAAAGACCTGAGCTCCTTCGGGACCCTGAGGGCACCTTCGGTGGGGCCACCTCACCCACCTGTGGGTGCTTGGGGCAGCGGTGACTGGATAGCTACGGAGCTTGGGCCCTGTGCTGCTCAGTTCCCCCTGGACGAGGACCCTTTTCTCCCGGGAGGCAGCCAGACAAAGCACACGCAGTGAGTTTGAAGTCCCTGCTTGTCAGGGCTTGAGTTTCCTGAGACGGACTAGCAAGTGTTACATAGTTAAAAACTATATACCACCTGAACTAGAAAAAATGAGGTCGTTTGAGATCTCTGCTTCTTAAGTAGCAGAGGGACAGATGGTCCAGCTGTGGCCCCGTTTCCTCCTACCTGCTCTATTTGACAGAAGTTGTCAAGTGGGCCCTGTCACTGAGTGGGTGCCAGTGGGGTCATATAGGTGAGTCATCCTTGGAGAAAGTGCTGACGCTCCAACCCCAGGACATCCAGAAGGCAGAGAGGATCCAGACTGGGAGGCTGGCATCCTGAAACCGAAGGTGTCTTCTAGACCCAAACGCCGACTTACTGTTAAAAACCTGGATGAATCCAGGCGAGAAAACCTGGATGTTCCAGTCACCTTCTCAGAACCCAACTGGCTTCTTAGTCTCTGTTATCAGTTCTTAGCTTTTAAAAAGTTTAGTTTAAAACAATTGTGCACCTCATTTTATTCTAATCTTTCTGCTTTTTCTCTCTTACTTGGTAAACCCTTGCTCATAACATTTACTTATTAGTATTTCAAATATTCTTTCTTGGTATTTTCCTTTGCCAGATTTTATTCTATTTCTTTTTCCCTATTTACTTTTGTGTTTTTCTTCTTTTCCTTGCACATATGATACAGTTTACTCTATTATCCCCCAACTCCTTTACATATGTCTACCCTTTTTTTGCTATTTTATACTTCACTCACTCTCTTCCTCTCAATCCCTATGTCCACTTTGGTCCAGCTTTCGCTTGGTGGGTGCCACCATCATATCACCCAGAGTGCTGAGCCCATGGCATCTTCTGGCCTCCTTTTCACAGAGCTCCAGGTCTTGGGGCGCCGCACTGTCCTGCAGTTACAGGCTGGGAGGTGCTGGAAGTCCACAGAAGGCCGGCTTGCCTGGCACACCTTCAGTGTGGGTTCTGAGGAAGGCTGACTGGGTTAGCAGGTGACAAGATGCTGCGTCCGCCAGCAGCAGATTAGTGTTGAGAAGTTAGTTGGCTTTTTTATTCTTTGACATTAGTTTCTCATGGAGAACAGGAAGGATTTCCCTCCTGTGCTTTCAGCACTGCTTCAAGACGTATGGTGGGTCATGTGTGTGGTCTGTGGCCTTTGGCTGTAAAGAAAGCCACCGAGCACCCTCAAACAGCATCCTTGTTCCTGTACCTCTGACGGCCACGTAGGCGGACGTGGTGGGACACTTCTCCTTCTTCCCCGTGTGTTTCAGAAAGGGAACACGGCCCTGCACATCGCTGCCCTCGCTGGTCAGGACGAGGTGGTCCGGGAGCTGGTCAACTATGGCGCCAACGTCAACGCGCAGTCCCAGGTGCGTCTCCCCCGTCCCTGCTCTAGAGGGCGCTCCTTCGCGTCACCTGTGTGTCTGTTGCACGCTGGGCACCTTGGCTACTGGGCTGTACACACTGTGTAGCTGAGTCTAGATTTATTAGCGCTGTGTCTCCAAGCGATGAAGAAGGTGTCTTTATTATCTTTCACACTTCTACACATCCTGAGCATGATGTGGTTGGTCATGGTGGACCTTGCCCCTGTTCAGTAAACCAGCCAAGTAATATACTTAGTTATGGCCCACTTGGAGAAAGAAGCTGTGTATGGGGGCTGGGATGTGGGGGGGTGGAAATAGAGGGGGCATGTGAGGGAAAGGCTGATTGATGGTGACCAGGGGGCAGAAACAGATTTCCATGGAGTGTCGCCCCCACCTGGTGGCCTTTTGTAATAATCTCACTGCCATTTCAAAGGGCAATGAGTTTTTATACCTGGAGATACAGGTGGGGATATTGCCCCGTAGGCTGGGTGAAAACAGGATGAGAGAGCTGCCCTCGAGGTTAGAGGACTTTGCACCGGTTTTAGCATCTCTTGCTATTGTGGGTGACTTTTTCTCTTGGTTTACAGAAAGGCTTCACACCCCTGTACATGGCAGCACAAGAGAACCACTTGGAAGTGGTTAAGTTTTTACTGGAAAATGGAGCTAATCAGAATGTAGCCACAGAAGTAAGTACCTTGGGAAGTGGCCTCACAGCCGGAAGTCTCCAGGGGTAGGACATGGCTCCTGGCTGTGGGGGCATGTGTTCTTGGGGTGTGGCCGGAGGTGCATCCTGTGCCATGATCCATGTGAAGTGTCACTGAGAGCTCTTGACCTTCAGATCACTGCACTGGCTGCTGTTGACTCTGCAGGGGAGTAAGAGACAGAGTCATGGGTCATGAGGAATGCCCAGACACATAGCAGAGAAATGACATCAGAGTCTAGCATGTCACTCCCACGATAACCGACACTGAAGGCTGGACAGGGGTGGGGTGGGGCGGGGGTGTATGATTGACAAGTATGCTTTGGGCCTTAATGAGAAATGCTCTTGCCATGAACCCACTGTGCACCCTGGACAAGTCACTTAACTCTGATCCTGAGTTTTGTCATTGTTGAAATAATGAAGTTGAAATTGAATTAAGGCTTCTCTTGAACTGTAACATTCTAAGACTCAACAATTACATGACTGTTATCATTGTGCTTTGCCAGCACATGGGGTCGCAGGATACAACTGAGGGAATGACTAACAGTAGCTCACAATCAAATTCTCAGTGCCTGACATGGTTTCTAGCTTTTGGTGAGTGTTCAGTAATATTTGTGAAACGAGTAAATGAATACTCATTTGCCATGTTTAAGGCACTGTCCTGGCACCAGTAGATGAGGTGAGAGGAGGGTAGGAAGAAACAAAGGGTAGTAAAACACTTCTCATAGCCCTCAGACTGGAAACAAATTAAAAAGGAAAATTAAATAAATGCTCAAGAAAAATTACTGTAGGTTCTGTAAGGTTGCAGAGAAGGAGAGTGGGGCCAAGAGAGGCTTCAGGGAGGAGGTGGCATTTATGTGGAGCTTGAAGGATGGAAGGGGTTTGAAGAGCAGAGACCTGGGGGCTGGGGGCCCGTCTTGAGCAAGAGCCCTGAGGCGTGAATGTGTGTCCTGCTCGAGGACAGCCAGTGGTCAGTTACAGTCAGAGCAAATCGGTGTTTCCTCCTCCCCCCTGGCCAGGATGGCTTCACTCCCCTCGCCGTGGCTCTGCAGCAGGGCCATGAGAACGTGGTGGCCCACCTCATCAACTACGGGACGAAGGGGAAGGTGCGCCTCCCTGCCCTGCACATCGCTGCCCGCAACGACGACACCCGGACAGCTGCGGTGCTTCTGCAGAACGACCCCAACCCAGATGTGCTTTCCAAGGTGAGGGCAGCTGGACGGAGGACCAGGAGAATCCTCTAGCCTGGACCGTGGAGACCTACTGGTTACAGAGCACCATCAGTTCCCAATAATTGCCCCCGAAACTAACCCAGACCAGCAATGGTGCCACCTGTGCACATGGAACACCAGCCTCACAGTGACTTCTGGTCCCCACCAGGACATATAAGAGCCGCACTTTAAAACCCTGGTGGATGCCAAGAAATATGTGCTTGGCATGGAATAGGGGAGGTTCTTGTTGCTCCCAGCCATCCAGAAAAGTGTCCAGTTGGGCAGGCTGGGTCTCTGGCCAGAGTGAAATTTTGGAATCCCAGCAGGCGGTGGTCTAGAATATAATCCCACTCTTTTCCTGGCTGCCCCCTAGTGGTGGGAGGGAGGTGAAC